ATGCTACCAGAGCTCCTACTTCCTCATTAGACAATATAAATTTAATCATCAAGTATATGAATTTTTTATTAAATATATTATTAAAATAAGTTTAAAATCTATTTCCAGTTTCCAAGGAATCATCTAAAATATGGCTATAGAATAACTTGAACTTTGTGTTTTACTGTGTAACTAACAGTTCAGTAACTGTTTATGTAAAACTAATTCTGATAAACTTTCCTTGGCATAATTTACTTCTATTTCAACACCACATAGGGTCTCAAAAAGGAGCTCAGGTGGTATAGTGGGTAAGGCATTTGGCTGCTAACCAGAATGTTGATGGCTCAAACCTACCAGCTGCTCCATGGAAAGAAGGTGAGGCAATCTACTTCCATGAAAATTTATAGCCTTGGCAACACAGTGGGGGTCACTATGAGTCAGAATCAATTTGAATCAAAGACATAAGGAGCTTTATACAATGTCAGCTTCCTAGACCAGACAAAAGTTATAATCAATTTGCTGGGTTTGTTTTTTGCTCAGGGTCTCAAAAGTTTGTTGTTATATTTGCTCATGGGTCATAAAGAAACTAGCCAGCAGTAGATTAATAGTTATTTATTTTATCATGTTTCAAGGATCAAATCCAAAAAATTACTCATAATAACATTACTTTTTTCTATTTAAAGATGTCATCTATATATTTCTAAATTCACCTACTGCTTCTAGAAAAAGAAAAAATGGTATTTATTATTTTTATTATGTATAACTATAATATTTATAAAATAATAAAATCTCTTCATGAGAAAAATATGTAATGAAAACACTAAAAAACTGAAGCATCTCAGACCTAGAGAAGCCCCATATTCAATACCTAAAGAGAGGTGATGTTTAAATGGACCCATTCCTTCTCAGCAATTTCAGTGTAGATGCATGCAATCAAAGCATATGAATTGAAAATACATTTTCTCAAGTGTGCTTCTGTATGCTTTCCCCCAGTTCATCAATCAATCAGGCCTATTATTTTAAACTGCCCTGCAGACAAAAAAAATAACTCAGGGAAGAAGAGCCTGGCCAATAGAGTTGGGATATAGAGGCAGTCCTAGGAGATTTCAGGGCAGTAACAATGAATGTCAATAAAGACAACATAAAAACTGGGTGTTAACTAAGATTCTGAATCCACTGAAAAATTCCGTAACAAAAAGAAGTTACGTTTATTCATAAGAACTTTGAGAAAAACTAAACTCTAGGAAAATAATGTTTTGCTATGTGGACATCTCATTTATTAGGAAAACACATACCTAAATAAAAGTTGATACAAAATGAAAATTAAAATAGAATAAATATTCTCATAAGAAAAATATTCAAGAAACCAGCCTGAGAACTAAATTTTAGATTTTAAAGGAATAATAAAACTTAACCCTCATTGCCATGGAATCAAATTCCAACTCACAGCAAACCTATAGAACAGAAAAGAACTGCTTCAGAGGGTTTCCAAGGTTGTGATTTTCATGGAAGTCGACTACCACGTCTTTCTCCTGAAGAGCTGCTGATGGGTTCAGATAGACTAACCTTTTGTTTAGCAACCTAGTGCTTAACCACGGCACCACCACAGATCCTTCTAGGTAAACAAAGACTCAAAAACAGAGAAAAAGAGGAATGGATGGAAAACAGAATTTTGAATTTGTAATACACCTCTAAGGAAAGTTGGGCAGTCTACTTCCGTAGTGATACTGCAGAAACCCAAGGAGGGGTCGCTATGAGTAGGATCTGACTCAACGGCACATAACAACAACAACAATATACAATATGTTAGCTCTACAGTAACCAAGGAAGAATGAAGAATGAGTGAATCAATGTTAACCATATATAATCATATTGGTATTATAATATGTAATATTCTTATATAGTAATATTATAAGGAATAATGTAAAAAAAAAAAAAAAAAAAAAAAAATTACCAGATTTGAAGAAATAAATAAAAGAGGAAAGATATAGCACATGCCACAAATTCTAATGAAATGTTTACATTTAAAAGATAAAAAAGTAGGGGATTTAATTGTAATAGTTCTCTAATATATCCCAGATATTAAGATAAGTATTTTACACATATTATCTAGTTAAAGAAATTTAAAACTTTGTCAACTTTAATGAATTTATTTACTATAAATAAATAACCCAGGAGAGGTAGAGAACATACTACATACTCTAATGAAATATTTAAAACTTGAAAATGTAGATAATTAAGTTATAATAATCTATTATATCTCAGTCATTGTAAGTATTTTATACATGTTTTCTAGTTAGAGAAACAAAATACTTTGTCAATTTCCATGAATCAAATGAATCAAGTGCATTGTTAAAATGTAATTTTCATGAAAATAGGCCAGCCTCTGAGTTATCTTCTGCAATGATGGACTGAAAGCAACACAACAGTATGTTTGCATAATCCGTAGTCAAAGTTAGGATGTAGGAAACTGGTACTTTGCCAAGTTATAAGTCATATGTAAAGCCACAACATAACAAAATGTTTCCAAGTTGGCAATTTCAAATTTACTGGACAATTCTAAAGAGTTTTCCACTGTGATTTAGCATAAAATTTCAACTAGAAGAAAACTGATTGCACTAAATTCATTAGGCAACTGGTACTACACATTATTCTGCAGATGACTGACAGTTGAAATCTTTTCATAAAGAAGTTTTAATCAACAATAAAATTTTATGATAAATACCCTTAATGTGCAAAGTTACAGGTTTTGTTAATTATTTGACCAACAAAAAACAAACAAAATTTAGAAAGATACATCGTTGAATAAACTAACAATGAAAATGGAGATTTTCATAAATTTAACGGTATTTTTAAAAAATTTTTGGAACAAAATGAGGATATAATTTAAGGAAAATTATTTTATGAGGTTATTAAGAGTGAGATTTGCCTTTATGATTAAATTTTGAAGAATACAAAATAAGACTCAAAACAATAAATTTAATTTTTCCATGAAAAAAATGGTTATTTTAATATGGTTTTAAATTAATACATCATAAGTTAACCCATAACCCATACACAAGTCTGATGATTTACCTTGTAAAGCATTCTTTCCTCTAGTATGAGTTTCCATTTATAAATAACAAAAAACAAAACAAAACAAAACAAAAACAAATCCATTGCCATCAAGTTGATTTTGACTCATTGCAATCCCCATTGCGTTTCCAAGGCTGTAAATCTTTACAGAAGTAGAGTGCCTCATCTTCCTCCAGCGGAGTAGCTGGTGGGTTTGAACAACTAAACTTCAGTTTAGCATCTAAATTCTTCATATAATAAGAAATTACCTAAAGAGAATTCTGACCATAGAAGGCCACATAGAAGCTACATCTCTCAAGGCATTTACTCCTATCTTTCAGGTGCATTGAATCCCCAACAAAAGTGTTTCAGAAAAATTGTTCTTATTTTAAATATAATTTGAATAAATCTGTAGCAGTAATGAATACCTATGTCCCTGGGAGTTATGCCAGGAAAAGAAGCAGGCATATTTAGTTTGAATTCACCCTAACCAGCCCATGGATAATGATCTCCTGAAAAGAGCATTTATAGAGTAGCTTTTAGAATGTTTGATTAAACAAACATTTACAGGTTATAAAAACATACATTTTCCTTTAATGGTCATTTATTTCCATGATAAGTTTTGTTATTTTTATCAAAGAAAAATAATTTCTATGAATGAAACTCTGGTTTATAACATTGTATTCATTGGATATTAATGTTTAATTTACTGTTGCCAAACATAATCCGGGCACTGATTTGGTTATATTGAAGTTACTTGCACTTGTCAGTTTTACAATTTTGTTTAACACAGTTACCATTGACATTAGAAACTCCCCATATTTTCCCAATCCACCAGAATAAAACAAGTCAAGCTCATGCTCAAAAATAAAAAAGAGAAATAAAATTTCATATCTGCCTATCTATGTACCTAGATACACACACCCACACACAAATATTGTAGCAAAGATGGAATATGTAATAGTAGATGTGTAGTAACAAACACTTCCTACATGTGCTAAATGAAAATCTTATAATCTTTATGTGAAATTAACATCTATGTCTGCACCACATATACCCAAAATAAAATGATTAAATAGAAATTAAATGAATAAATTTGTATAAACATGCCCTACATATCGAAGAAAGAAAATATGAGTGTGTTCCTACCAATTATAAGGTAGAACATATTAATAACCTAAAGAGAAATGATTGACAAAAATATCAAAATACACATATAGTTCATGAATAAATAATTATATACCAAAATATACATGGTAAACCAAAATTAATCATTTTGTTTGCAGATTTTCACTCCATACTTGCCTATCACAAATCAGATGGAAACAGATGAAAAGAGGTAAAATACATAAATATTTTAAAACCTAGGTTCAAGTAGCATGTAAAAATTAGATCACAGCTAAATTCTGAAGTATCTAAGCAATTATATATATACATATGCGTATATATGTGTATAGATAGATATGATTAGAGATAAAAAATGAACTGAAAATTCATCTCCTAAGACATTAAAAAAAGTAGTTGAAACAATTAGCAGCAAGAATGCAGTGATAAGATTTTAAAATTCTAAGAAGTAAAAATTTTCATCAGTTCTTCATTTGCTTGAAGACAGGCAATGACAGAAATGAATTTCTAATTTAGTTTTATACTATAAATTTGCATATTTTATAAATAATTATTGTAATATATTTAAGAAAAAAATAAAATCCAATTCTACCCAGGAAAAAAGATATTTAACAAATATAAAATGAATGGTTATATTGAGAAATCAAACCATAAGATTATTATAAAGACATGGGTAATTGGAAAAAATATAAGCATTTTATTTTTCATTACTATTAAATGTAAATCTGTAATTACAATTTTAAGATAAACTTTAAAATTTGTGTCTATATTTCAACAAGTACTAGCAAGATATGTATAAGCTCTCTTCATTATATGTTAATTGTATATAAATCAATACTGACCTGCAGGAAAAGGTCTTTCCTGGACCATCAACACAAATTCCTCCATTAAGACAGAGTACCCGATCCAGGTCAGGCTCAGCACAACTATCAATATCTATTTCACAATATATGCCAGTGAATCCACTTGGACAAATGCAAGTAAATTCATCTATCAGCTTCTGACAGAGGGCTTCATTCACACAAGGAATTGATGTGCAGTCCTAAATGAAGAAATAGAGAGCAGGCTGAAGAGGTCAACAATGACACTACAGAGGTGTGTTCCTTAGAACAACCAAAAGAGACCAAAAGGGCAGAATTTGCTCAGGGATAAATCTAAGAAGGCAGGAATGCATAAGAAAGAAGGCCAAAGGAAAATGGTGACCATAGGGAAGAAATGGGAAAAGAGTGTGCTACTATGTTGTAGGACTGTATCAATGTCATGAAACAAAATGGGTATGAACTGCCGAGTGGAAAACGAATTTGCTCTGTAAACTTCCATGCAAATTGCAATAAAAGGTTAAAAAAAATTGATTTTTTATGGTATACCTTATACAGTGCCTTAATCTGGTATGACATAATTTTTCAGTGTAATATCAACTTGAAAAATATTTGCACCTGTTATTCTGAGAAATAATTAATTAAAAGTGGTTTTAAAATTTATTTTCAATGTGTTATATATACAAGATTACTTAATAAATATAAACTAATTTGAATTATTTGTTTTCTGGGATCACAAGTTATTATATCCTCAAGACTAATTATATACACAAACATGAAATATTCCGTTAGTATTCTATGCTGAAAGGTGATGATATTCTGGCACTATCATTAATTGATACCTATGCTTATAAACATTAAGTGATTTTTTAAAATTATTAATGATAAAAACTCATACTGACAAGGATAACACAGAAGCCATTGCATTTATATAGTGTATCCGGCAGAAAATTAATGGTTTATCATAATTACCAGAGAGTTTAATTAGTGTCATTTTCAATAGGAAATGGATTGTTCCCTTGAGTATAAAACTTAAGTCATGCCTGGAATCCAGATGGTGATCTCTTACACTCACCCAAGTGATAAAGCTCAATGTACATTCTGATATTTGTTTTACCTTTTCTGAAAATGTGAACTTCCTTAAGCATAACCAAGGGCACTTGGTAGACTTCCTGCAGGTACTGCAGTTATTTTTACAGAATGTAAATGCTGAATTCCACAGGGAGTGGCATGGAAACATGTTTCCATTTCAGCCCTACAGCTGGGTGTATATAGAGAGAATGATTTATTAGAAAGCATTACATAAACTAATTGAATTATATCTCTCATGGGAAGAAAGGGATAGTTTCTAAGACTGCCAAAAATTCTGTCTCTAGGGTTTACAAGAATCTTTTACTAAATTAATTAGAAGGCTTAATGGGAAATACAAAAGCAATTTCTTTTTTTAGAGAAAATCAAATTGTCATTCAAAGTTCTTGATCTTTTTGGTTCAAAAGTTAAGGAGAATGCTTTTTCATTTGTTCATCATCATTTATATTACATTTTTATACCTTCTATTTAATATAATAAAGTGCTTCCCAAGAAGAATTCACTGATTTAATTTCAGAAACTGAAAGAAATAAAAATCTGATGTGTTTAAGAAAGGAAAGGAAGCTAGGAAGAATGTTGCAAGCAAGAGCAATCTAGACAATTAAATTACATCCTCGCACTCCAAAAGCTGCTTTTGTTCAAATGTACCCAAATTGTCATGCCAGAAAATGTACAGAAAAGTTAGGTTAATAAATTATCAATATATTCATTGTAGACTTCTCACCCAGAGCAAACCAGCAGTTAGACAAGTAAATGTGCCTTTTATCTCACTGACAAGGAGCCCTATTGGTGCAAAAGGTTAAATCATAGGTAGGCTGCTAAACTAAAGTTTTGTGATTAAAATCTAACCAGCCACTCCATGGGAGAAAAACCTGGCAAGCTGTTTTCTTAAAGAACACAACCAAGAAAATCCTAAGGGGCAGTTTTACTCTGTCACCTGAGGTCAAAATGAGTGAGAATCAACTTGACAGCACCCAAAAACAACAAGATCTCACTGACAGAAGACATTGTTGTTGTTGTTAAGTGTCATTAAGTCACCTCCTACTCATAGCAACACTATGCACAACAGAAGGAAACAACATCTGGTCCTGAGCCAACTCCATGATTGTTGCTACACTTGAGCTCATCACTGCTGCCACTGTGTCAATCCACCTCGTTGAGGGCCTTCCCCTCTTTCATCGACCCTATACCTTACCAAGCATGACATCCTTCTCCAGGGAATGGTGCCTACTGACAACATGACCAAAGTATGTGAGACTGAGTCTGGCCATTTTGCCTCCAAGGAGCATTCTGGCTTCACTTCCTCCAGGACAGATCTGTTAGCTCTTTTAGCAGTCCACGGTACTTTCAGCATTCTTCACCAGCACCACAAATTAAAAGCATCACCATTTCTTTGGTCTTCCTTATTCATTGTCAAGCTCTCAAATGCATATGAGGCAATTGAAAATACCTAGGCTTGTGTCAGGAGCTCTGGTAGCATAGTACCTAAGGCACTTTACTACTAACCAGAAGGCTGGCAGTTCAAACCCACAGGCCACTTCTCAGAAGGAAGATGGGGCAATCTACTTCCATAGTGATACTGCCTTGGTAACCCAAGGAGGGGTCGCTATGAGTTGGGTCTGACTTGACGGTACATAACAAGAATGACAACAGCAGGCTTGTGTCAGGCACACCTTAGTCCTCAAGGAGAAATCTTTGCTCTTCAGCACTTGAAAGAGGTCCTTTGCAGTGGATTTGCCCAGTGCTGTACGTCATCTGATGTTCTGACTGCTGCTTCCACTGGCCTCGATTTTAGAACCAAGCAATGTGAAGTCTTTGACAATTTCAATCTTTTCTCCATTTATTGTAATACTGCTTTTAGGTCCAGTTGTGAGGATTTTTGTTTTCTTTATATTGAGATGTAATCCATACTGCAGACTGTATTCTTCAATCTTCATCAGTAAGTACTTCAAGTCATTCTCACTTTCAGCAAGCAAAGTTGTGTCATCAGTGTATTGCAGGTTGTTAATGATTCTTCCTCCAGTTCTGATGCCACATTCTTCTTCATATAGTCCAGCTTCTCAGATTATTTGCTCAGCATACAGATTGATTAAATATGGTGAAAGGATATAATCCTGACACAGTCCCTTCTTGATTTTAAACCATGCACTGTCCCCTTGTTCTGTTCAAACGACACCCTCCTGGTCTATGTACAGATTCCTCATGAGTACAATTAAGTGTTCTGGAATTCCCATTCTTTTCAGTGTTATCCACAATTGGTTATGATCCACAATATCAAATGCTTTTGCTTAGACAATAAAACACAAGTAAACATTTTTCTGGTATTCTCTGCTTTGAGCCAAGATCCATCTGACATCAGCAACGATATCCCTCCTTCCACATCCTCTCCTGTATCCAGCTTGCACATCTGGAACTTCTCTGTCAATATACTGCTGCAACCATTTTTGAATTATCTTCAGTAAGATTTCACTTGCATGAGATATTAATGATATTGTTCAATAATTTCCTCATTCTGTGGTTAGTTGGCCAGGTAGCTGTCTTCCAAATCTCTTTGCATAACTGAGTAAATGCCTCCAGCAGGGCATCCGCATGTTGAAACATCTCAATGGGTATTCCATCAATTCCTGGAGACTTGCTCCTTGCCAATTCCCTCAGCACAGCTTTGATCTCTTCCCTCAATACCATTTGTTCTTGAACATATGCAACCTCCTGAAATGGATGAAGATTGCCCAGGTCTTTTTGGTACAGTGACTGTGTATTCCTGCCATCTTTTGATGCTTCCTGCATCATTCAACATTTTGTCCATAGAATCTTTCAAAAGTCCAACTCAAGGCTTAAATTTTTCCTCAGCTTTTTCAGCTTGAGAAATGTCGAGCATGTTCTTCCATTTTGGTTTTCTAACTCCAGCTCTTTGTACATTTCATTATAGTAATTGGCTTATCTGCTCGAGCTGCTCTTTGAAATCTTAAGTTCAGCTCTTAATCTTGTAATTTCTTCCATTTGCTTTAGCTATTCTCCACTCAAGGGCAAGTTTCAGAGTCTCTCTTCTGACATCCATGTTGGTCTTTTCTTTCTTTCTAGTATTTTTAATGACCTCTTGCTTTCTTCATGGATGATGCTCTTGATGTCATCCCAAAATTCTTCTGGTTTTTGGTCATTGATGTTCAATGCATCATATATATTCTTTAGATGGTCTCTAAATCCAGGAGGGATATATTTAAGATCATATTTTGGCTCTTATGGACTTGTTTTAATTGTCTTCAACTTCAAGTTGAACTTGCATATGAGCAGTTGATGGTCTGTTCCACAATCAGCTCCTGGCCTGTTATTGGCTGAAGATATTGAGCTTTTCCATTGTTTCTTGCCTCAGATGTAGTCAGTCTGATTCCTGTGCGTTCTACCTAGTGAAGTTCAAGTGTGTAACTACTGTTTGTGTTGTTGAAAAAAGGTATTTGTAATGAATAAGTCATTGGACTTGCAAAATTCTATCATGCGATCTCCAGTGTTATTTCTGTCATCAAGGCCAAATTTTCCAATTAGTGGTGATTCTTCTTTGCTTCCAACTTTTTCATTCCAATCACCAGTGATATGCAATACATCTTGGTTGCATGTTCAGTCAATTTCAGTCTGCAGAAGTTGATAAAAATCTTTAATTTCCTCATCTTTTGATTTGGTGTTTGGTGAATAAATTTGAATAATAGTCATATTAACTGGTCTTCCTTGTAGGTGTATGGATATTATCCTATCACCGACAGCATTGTACTTCAGGACAGATCTTGAAACATCCTTTGTGATGAGATGATGAATGCCACGCCATTCCTCTTCCAACTGTTATTCCAGCACAGTAGATCAGATAGTTGTCTGATTCAAAATGGCTAAAACCAATCCATTTCAGCTCACTAATGCCTAGGATATCAATCTTTATGCATTCCATTTCATTTTTGACTACTTCCAATTTTTCTAGAATACTTCATACATTCCATGTTCTGATTATTAATGGATGTTTGCAGCTGTTTCTCCTCAATTTGAGTCATGCCATGTCAGCACATGGAGGTCCTCAAAGGCTTACTTTATCTATATTGTTAAGATTGGTTCTATTGCAATGAGGAAGCTCTTTCCCAGTCCTATTATGAGTGCCTTCCAACCCAAGGGGCGCTAGTCTTCCAACACTGAGTCAGATATTGTTTCCAAGCTACTCATAAAGTTGCCCAGTAATGTATCAGACAGTGTTGCTCTGCTATTCATAATGTTTTCCCTGGCCAATTTTTGAGAAGTGGATGGTCTCCTCTTTCTTCCTAGTCTCTCTTAGTCTGTAAGGTACGTTGAAACCTGTGTACCATGTGCAACTCTGCTGGTGTCTGAAACACCAGAGCACAGCCTCAAGCCTCACAGCAATGTACAAGCTTTACAGGATGACAGACTGACAGTGTGTCTCCCTTAGCTGTTGGAAACCTCTGAACTCTCCTCTTACCTAATTCCTACCTGATACCCACCAGTCTGTGGTCCCTACCGCTCCTGGTCCCTCCCTTTCCTGGCTCTAGGGGGCTTGGAGCCTAGCCTTACCTCCCGCCCCTTTTAACCTGGATATCCTGCCACTTGTGAGGTCCCTGAAGCCAGAAGACATTAGGACAGAAGACATTAGGGCCCTGTCTAATCCCTGCAAAAGCTATTAAGCTTCTCAGAGTCATCCAAGTCTTTCATAGCTCAGAGTGAAAACTACTAATCTAGTCCAAAAACAAACAAAAAACAAACAAACAAAAAAAACTCACTGCTGTTGAGTCAGATCCGACTCATGATGACTGCTCCTTGGGTTTCCAAGGCAGTATCATATGGAAGTAGATCGCCCAGTCTTCCTTCTGAGGAGTGGCTGGTGGGTTTGAACCCCAGACTTCTTGTTAGCAATTAAATTCCTTAGGTATTATGCCACCAGAGCTCCCCTAACCTAGTCCAGGTTTTCTCAAACTTAAAATGTATACAAATACCCTGGAAAGTTTGTTAAATTGCAGATTCTAGCTCAATAAGGAGCTCTGGTGGCATAGTGCCTAAGGCATTTGCTAACCAGAAGATGGGTGGTTCAAACCCACCAGCCTCTCCTTGTAAGGAAGATTGGGGAATCTATTTCTGTAGAACTACTAGCTCAGAAAACCAAGGACGGGTGGCTGTGAGTTGGAACAACTCGACTGCAGTGAATAGGTTTGGTGTGGGGTCTAATTTTCTCCATTCCTAACAAACACCCAGGTGATCCTGTTGCTGTGATCAAATGGACCAAACAATGAGTAATCAGACTTCAGTCCAACAGCTTCATTTCACTCACGGGGATGAGGATGAGCACAAAGGTGTTAAGAGTGAGTTCTCTAGATTTTTATAGTAAGACTGTGATGAAACTATACCATCTACACACTATTCTGAGTTCCAACTAAGGCTCATCCTACTAACAGTGATTTCTCTCTCAGAGGAATTTGTTGACCTCTAAAGTACATGATAAACATTTAATATCCCTACGATTTGCTTCTAATATATCTTCACTTGCTTTTGTCTTATTTTTTTAAAACTTTAAACTTAACATGGCTGAATGTGGGACTGAAGAAGCTAATGGGCTTCAGAGTTTGATTAACTCTCAATTTAATCTGACTTATGATTTTCTTTCTATTTTTGTAAAGATATATATAAGGAGCTCTGGTGGTTCACCAGCTAAGCCATTTGGGTGCTATCAAAAAGGTTGGTAGTTCAAACCCACCTGATGCTCCAAGTGAGAAAGATAAGGCTGTCTGCTTTTATGAAGATTTACAGCCTTAGACACCCCACGGGGCCATTCCACTCCATCTGTGGGTTGGGTTCACAATGAATCAGAATTCACTTAATGGCACTAGGTGGTGGTGGTAAAAAACTATCTATCTTAATTTATTGTTATAGATATAGATATAAAACACAATATTTGCCAAGTCAATGTTTTTCATATGTACAATTTAGGGATATTTATTGCATTAATCATGTGAAACCATCACCTATAATAATTGCTAAATTTCCCATCTTCCAGACTTACAACATTTTGTTGTGGAAAATTCAGGGATTTGCTTTATCATTTTGACAAGTGAAACAAAATAATAAGATATCAAAATTAAGATTCTTACCATAAATCTTAATTTTATATCTTATTGAAAAAGCATGTGATGGTATTTCTGGGAAGAAAGGTTATTTAAGGAAACAAACAAAACCTTAGTCCCAGAAATAACCTAGAAAGTACATATAGATTGAATATAGGGAAGAGAAGTACATCAGGGACAAAACTACAAAAACCAAACAAAATTCCCTGCCTCAAGTCGATTCTGACTCCTATCGACCCTGTAGGATAGAACAGAAATGCCTCATAGGATATCCAAGGCCGTAAATCTTTATAGAAACAAACTGTTTCATCTTTCTCCCCTCAGAGCAGCTATGTAAGAAACTACCTACAATGCAAATTCACAAAGTAAACTTCAAGATTTTTTGTCAGAAAATGTACAGTCTCAAAAATACTAAAAAACAAAAAAAGTTACTATGCACTCCTATTTTCACAAGAGAATTGCAGAAGAATTCTAAAGTTCATATTCAAACTCTCAGTGCTCCAGATTGAGGGTTTCAGGTATGAAGTGTTGTCCAAAAGGTTGTAAACACTTTGATTAGATGTGACTAAGGAAACTGTAGCACTTTAATGGATATATGGTTGGTGTTTGTGGTCAGGAGAGAATGCGGAAGGGAGTGCAATTCCTTTTGTCTCTACCT